TGGTAAGACTTTTGTTGAGAGGAATACTGAACAAGGCTCCATCCTAATATCCCCTACTAAACCAATTTCAGTAAGGTAAGAGTCCCTTCCTTAAACAGCAGAAATGTTCTGGTGATCTGGAAATTTCATTAAGTTTCCCTCTAGGCTGATTATTCTAGTTTTGTCATATCTTCCCATTAATGCTTGTGATTCTTCTCTCTCTTAAGTTATCATGTCTTGTCTTAATTCTTTTTTCCTCTTCCCTGTTCTTCCTGTCTTCAATGTGGTCTTTCGTCCCTATCCTTCCAATATATTTTATATACCCTTACCCTTTCACCTTGTTCTCTGTCATTCTTGTTGTTCTATTACTTTTTATCCCAATCTAACCCTACTCTGTCGCTTTCCTTCTCCCTGCCCTGATTTCTAAGTTGTTTCCCTATTCCTGCCTGTATCACCCTTCTAGCATTTTATGGCTGTAGCAGATTAGAAGGCAGAGAACGCAGCAGAGGTGCGAAACCAGGAGACTTCTTGGTTTGAACCAAAAATACCACTTACGTGCTTATACCACAGGGAGGTCACTCTTTTCTAGCCTGCAAGACTGGCGACCAGCGCAGGAGTGTAAGCAAACACCGTGTAAGGATCTGAGTTACAACACTAGATGTGAACAACTTCAGAAATGTCACGCCCAAGTTAGCACAGAAATACAGAAGGCTCTTCTCTGCTGTGACATTTTAAATCACTGAGAATCGTATTTGTCATGAGTCTGTAATTCATTAGTGATATCGTGGCAGACCAGCACTTGTGGGTAATGCACCCAAATCAGCATTAGACAGTCTGCACCACTGAACCTCAGGCTGTGCACTTAGAGTGCTCAAAAGTAGGCACCGAAGGCTTGAAATGGTGTTGGTAATTAACACCTTTTGCAGCTGTAACTCTCCAGCAGCAGGAAGGGAGTTTCTGTACCTGCTGTAATCGTAGGATCCATCTCCTCAGCCTTGGTTCCCTGGCAGCTGGGTGTCTAGGCTATGCTATCTGTCTGGGATCTCTGGGTAGTCAGAAAAGAGGGATTGGCACCTCTGGGGCACATTATTCCCTCTGGGTAGACCCAGGGATTGGCTTGCAAAGATGCTTCTCTTTCACTGCTAAATACAGAGGAAGCCCAGATACCTACCTGTTAGCTGGCTGAAATGAATCCCCACCCCAAAAGGCAGCTGCCTGAAATATTTTGCAGTCATGTTGGATGTTGGTTTGTTCCTTCAGGGAGAAAAGAAAAATAACATCAAATCAAAAACTTTCATTAAATGGTCAGCTGTTAACTACTTCTTACATTGCAGCAGGCATGAAGACATGACAATATAAAGCAAAGTGTAGTCTAGAGAGAAGGTGAGGACTGAATTTAGCCAATGGATCCAGTGAGAAAATATGTATTGTGCTGTTAAAATTAAATGTGTTTTACAGAACACTTCTCAGGTGTTGGTAAGAGGTTGATATGTTCAGACTTACACGTAGCACTGGCTATGAGCATACTCTATGTATTAATCTCATCTTACATTTTTTATCTTGGCCTTTACTTTTGCTTCAGGCAAAAGAAGTTAATTATTCACATATGACCCACAGTAATTAGTGCAGTTTTGGATAAGTATAAATGAAGTATGACAGCTATGCACGCAAAGGTGAGCAAGTTTCAGTAGGAAACTTTCTGAGAAAAGATGACAGAAACTCAGCATTGCATAATCTGGACTTCTTTTAGGCAGGCTGATCTTGCTGACAATTGTTTACCTAAGCAGGATGTGTTTGAGAACTATTTATTTTCTTTTTCATTTACTATATATGCGTAGCCACTAAAACATTCGCAGTCGTTTGGATACAGGAGGAAAAACAATGCAGTATTTTGAACAACTTTGGTGGCTGTAAAGTGTACTTCTTTTAGACTTAATTAAAAATGGAAACAAAATATTATCGACGGTAACAGTTGCATTTCATTCTCTTAGAGTGACCCCTAGGTTTTTTTAAGTATGCTATCGTCTAGCTCCCCAATACTTCTCCCCAGTGTCCTCAAAACTTGGTGTACTGGTGTGGGCATGGAGTCCACTGGGGGGCGAGCTTGAATTACACATCGTCTCTCCAACCAGAAAAACTGCAAGCGAAACCTGTAATAGAGCATTTCATAAATCACAAGCACTGGTATTAAGTTTCTCTTTCTAGTATCAGCTTCTTGTTTTTGTTTTGCCAAATCGTCAAATAAAGCTATCAGTAGGTATCGGGTGTGATGGAGAGCCTTCGGGGCTCGCAGGCAATCTCGCAGCTCAGGTTTATCAACCCTTTCCACAAGGAGAAACTGTGAGGAGTTGGCTCACTGGAGTTGTGTTAAGTTAGTTGCTGCTTCAGTGAACTTAAAGAAAATTACTAACGTGTGACTCTACAAATGAGTAATCTTCAAAAATGGAAAAACCAGCAGCCCTGGGTTGTATTCCCAGTCTGCTTATGTCTGCGTTGCGCTCAGCGTAGGTGCTGGTGTCAGCCCCGGGAGCGAGAAGAGCTGTAACTCCTGTTCCCCGTGAGGTCTGCACCCATGCAGCCCCGGTGGGACTCACCTTCTTCAGCTTGCTGCTTTTACTTTGAAGATGGAAACAGCGTTATTTTATTATATGTAATGGCTATTTCAGGCCTTTTAGGCAGTACTGAAGTTGCCATTGACACTCCCAGTAGGACAGCTGAGCATTGCAGACTAAGCAATACTGATTGCTTCCACTGTGTTTCCCCCCACCCCAATCAAAATTTCATTCTAAAAATATTTAAATTTATCTTAGTGAATTGTTGTTTCCTTTTCTACTAGCCCTGGTTTGTGAAAGAACTACAGACTCTGTTCAGTCTGAAGAGAGATGATGAAAATCTGATAGGTTTTATGTAAATCAAAGAGGCAAATCATGCCTTCTGTTGAGAGGCTGATAGGGGTTATAAAAACTAGACTTTAATAACTGCTCTGTGAAGTTGGTGAAACTGGAAATGATGGGTCTGTGAAAACTGTAAGCATTAAATAATTTCATTATTTTGGCAAAAAGCAGGCAGATATTTTGATGCCATAAAATTGAGGATGCACGTCTTGACCTCCTCTCTAGTTGGCTGGATGTTTCTGAAATGGCAGTGAAAGGGTGCAAAGTAGTCAAAATTGTTTGCAATTTCCCCGCAGAATTTCACTTGACTTGTCATTATTTTCCAATCATCTGTAACTATAATGAAACTAAGTTCGTGAGCTAGATACAGTGAAGGTGGCAGGACAAAGCCATGCAGCAGGCCATTTATCAGGTCAAAAGCAATGCAGTAAAGTCTCAGGTGAAATAATACATTTCATGTATATGTTATTATAGCTTCAGTAAGCTTACTAGTTGTGGATAAAGGGAGTGACTGGAAAGATGAGAGGGCAGGGGCATCTGTTTCAGGGAGAGTGAAGAGGGAAAACAAGGACAAACATCCAGGACGCTTTGGGCTAGTTGCTGTAACAGTGCAAAGGAGGCATTAGAAAGCGAAAACAATTTTTGGATAGATGACAGTGATCATATGAAAACCACACAAACCCTTTTTTATTCGTAGCAATTTCAGTTGCCTTGTTAATGCATTAAATAATGAAAAGAGTGATTATCAAAAGATGGCAGGTTCTGGCTGCCAACTGAGGCACTGCAGGGCAGTGGCTGCTGGCTGTGGGCGATGTCCCGGGGCACGCATGTGGTGGTTCACCCTGTCACAGATGAACTGTCCCACTGGTCAACCATGTGGCTAAAAGCTACTTTCACTTTTCATCCACAGGCTACTCAGTCTGCAAATCCTGGTATGCAATATTCTGTTCAAACCTGAATCACGGGCCTAC